TTCACTATTTATAGATCTAATGTTGCAGTGAATGAAAATATTCTTTTACAACAAAAAACCGACATATTCTGCAAACTCTCTATTAAGGAAATTTGGTTTAATTACTTCCACCAAAAATGTTTCACCTAGTGCACTCACAATGTTTCACTATGTATAGATCTAATGTTGCAGTGAATGAAACATTCCATTGCAACAAAAAACCCACATATTTTGGAAATCCCCTATTAAGGGAATTTGGTTTATTTTTTGTTCCACCGAAAAATGTTTCCACTGCTGTACTCATAATGTTTCACTATGTATAAATCTAACGTTGTAGTGACCTGAAACATTCTTTCGCTATTTGCTGAAACATTGTTTTTATATAAGGTGAAACAATACCCGATTTAAACGAGTGAAACATTTTCGATCTACTTAGTGAAACAATTCCGATATACCTGGTGGAACATCGTGCAATATTTAAAAATAATTCAATAATAAGCTTTTTTTCATCGGAATATATCCATGTGTGGTCTTGTTTTGAAGATTTAATTGGAATGAATTTAATGGTACAATCGGGTCATGATTTGGATAAGTAATTCAAGAGAAAAATCAGTTTAAAGTAGTTTTGCACGTAAATCGGGCACTAACGTCATGCTGACGTCAGCGTCCGATTTTAACCTCCTCCCATCGGGCGCCCGAGCGGGAGTCACGTCCTCTCCCTTGCTCTCTGTACCGGCTGGTACCTTCCTCGATGTTAACAACCGAATTTGGTAATCTGAGTATCAAAGATGAAGATAGGAACAGAGTGAAATTCGAGATTGAAATCCTTCCGGAAATAGAGCAAGGATCGGCTAAAGTCCGAATCGGCTGCGACCAGGATCGGCAGAGTCCGAGTTAGACAAGGTTAGCCGATTGAGCTGAATCTGACAATATGACACGGCGTACGTTGTCAGATTGAGTTGATGTCCTTCATGAGGATTGCCACGTATGGATAGAGTCTTGAGATGGCAATTGTATCTATTAATTATGATATTTTATGTAATTTCTTTAGAGATATGTTTGGGCAAAAGTTTGCCGCAAAGACTTATGGTATCTTAGAGTTTGTTGGAGATAAGAGTCGTGTCCGACATGGACATATTTTGTAATCTCGGGTATAAATAGACCCCGAGCCCCATGTAATCAATCTAACACACATTCAATACAATCTCGGCGCATCGCCACCCTTTTAGTTTCATTTTGTTTCGACGAGTTCTTACTTTCGGGTTGAGCTGCATCGGTTTTGATCTTCGACTAGAGGTAAAACTTGTTATGGCGGTTTGCGTTCTCGTGATTAGTGCTTCCATCTTTATGATACTCTAATCTTGTTTATATAATTCGTCGAGTTATCATATATCTTACATAATCTTTGGCAATATCGTTATCTAACCTTCAATCGGCTAACGTCTGTTACTAGAAGGCAGCCGATTAGGTTATATATCGATGTTGATTTAGATTATATAAGATATCTACCACTCTATGAAACATCCAACGGCTTGATTGTCTAGATATTGTCCTTCTTTTCATACTTATAGCTGCATCAGTTGAGTTTGATCTTACAAGTCATGATTAGAATCTCAATCTCTAGCCTGCCTTTGGTTGCCGATTGGGGTAGCATTGGGGTTTCAGCCGATCTTACCTGATTTAACTATATTTATCCTATATGCTTGATCGACATGTTAAATCTGCCCTTTATGTTAAGATCTTGTTGCATTTAAGTATATTAGGCTTTTTGTTTGATATATTCTACTTGCTTTGATACCTTAATATAGAGTAGTATCGGAGTATTAGCCGATACATGCTAGATCTATCTGATCGGCTATGCTATAAACATATATAGTCTTGTTATTAGTATATATTTCGATCTAAGTGATTTATAATGTCTCGGCATGGCGACCGATCTATCCCAATCACTTGATTTAAGTATATATCAACATAAGGGTTATATGTTGTTAATATCTACAGTCGATCGAGTAGATTTAGTTCTTTCTTACTTATTCATGACTGTCGATCGATCTACATATAACATCGGCTCAAAGATAAATGATACGTCATCGGCCACTAGCCGATCGGCTATCGTTTATGGATTTAACCGCGGTTTCTTTGTCTTTATTTCTTATTGATTGCAGGATCAAATCAACTGGCACGCTTATACACCTAAAGGCAAGCTTTTGGACCTGTACTGGAGTTAAGCAGATCTCCCAGACCTCATGTTTTTACATCAACACTTGAGTGAGCCAAGCTCGGGAACACACTTGGCCACCGGTGTCGCCACCTCCCAGCAATCGGAGCACCGGCGCCCCGCTCCTCTCTTTCCTCTGCTGTGCCTGGGAAGAAAGAACGAAAAAAAGAGAAGAGGGGTGGATGGAGGAAGAAGATGAATTTGACGGGTGAGCCCCACGTGTAAATGGGAAGGAAGATGGAAAATGTGACGGCGACGATGGTATATATGGTTCTAATTTCGTAAAATTTGAATGGCACGCTTACGAATAGATGAATTGTAATGGTATTTTTTAATAGCCACATTTGTAATGGCATGGTTCGAATTAACCCTTGTTTCTTCCACTACCATTCATCCCATCTTTGGATGGGTTGGTTTGACATGTCACGTACATGTGTCGATCCTAGTATCCTATAGTAACTCAAGGTCAAGGGAGCCACATTGATCGTGAGCTTAGCTGTCAACGTTCATGACGTACTCTGTTGAACAAAGAGTACAAGACAAAAAAGGTCCATTTCATCCTCTATGAAATATGGTTTCTGAAAGTGCCTGCATGGTGCTGATGAATGATGATATATGAAATAGTCCTTGACACGCCTTCACGCAAGGGTTTACCACGCGTTGCCTCTCGCTGTCTGTCAAAGCTACCGCTCGATCGCGTGCATGCCTGCCCGCAGCAACTCCGTCCCCGGTGTACACATACGCCAGGAAAGGCAAATGGTTTCCGTTGCTACGAGCTGTATAGAACAGTAGAAGACGAATTAACCAAAGTCTTTTAGCTTGCGTGTGGGGTGTCAGCATATCTTTACTGGCATGCCGCGTGGCCCGCGCGTGCGTAACTGCGCAGAATCCCCCGTTGTGTGAAACTTGTGTTTTCGCGCTGTCGCGCTCGAATGCGATGACGCACTTAATTTGCGCGTTCCATGATGAAAAAGGTCGATTGGCCGGTGACACATCGACTACAACTTTCAAGCAAGAAGACGCGGCGCCTGACTTCAGCGGTGCGCGCAAAGTTCAACTTGCACGAGACCCTCCGGCGCGCCTTGCGACCTCATCACCGGCGATAGAGCAGCCAACAGGAAGGACTCTTTTTGGTGGCGCATGCAGCTCACGCCTTTGAGTGGTTGGGGGCGCTCCAGCTGATCGAGTCGTCAACGGGACGATGACACTATAGAAATACTACCTCCGTTTCTGAAGTAGATTATACCCATCATATAACAACTTGGCAGATAGGTGCGATATAGTATAAGAACTTGAGAATTAAACATCTGAGTGCAACAACTTGACAAGAGGATACGTTCAAGTACGAGACTTTGACAATTTAGTATTTTAGTGGATCAACTTGGCTAAGTATATGCTAGATGAATCTTTTTAACGTTATCAATATGCCATTGCATACTAATCCTACGGATATTACCTTATAATATTGAATTTAATATTTAAGAATTATACTGCACATATAATTTACATCCAATTACCTCTTAAGATTTTTTTTTGTTTTCTTCACTTTCTCAAATATCAACCGAAATATAAGGTTTTCTATATCCAGTTTAATTGACTTTCAATTAATAGTTATTAGGATAAAAATATAAATCTGCTTATACACCAAAAAATGATATTAAGTTGCCGCATAACTTCTTAATTTATTGTATCAAAATCGTACCTACCTTACAAATTGTTGTATTTATATGATCACTTATAAAGTTCTTATACTAAATTACATCTACCTGCCAAGTTGTTTCACTAGAACACTCGTTTCTCAAGTTCTTACACCAAATTGTATTTAACTGTCAAGTTGATGTAGCATGGATACAATTTATTCTTTTATAATTTATAATTTATATTATAAGTCATTTTGATTTTTTTCTAATTATTATTTTAATTATAATCACGTTTAAAGAAAAATATAGCAATATTTTTAAAACGACTTATAATATAAAACGGAGTAAGTACCATCTTCACTGATACCTCTTTATTTTTACATATATAGACTAAAAGACTAGCGACGTGTAAAAATGCATAGATGTCCTTTCTATTTTTTTTTTCCGAAACACAGTGTAGATGCACGAAATTATATAAACGCGCACACATCCAATTATATTGCACATACTAGCACCTCACCCTTATCAGTACCTTCAAAAACTAGGCCGGTATATCTTGAGATTTACGAATTCACCATGCTTCGCTGTCGATGAATACATCGCCTACCATTGAAAAAAAAATAGTCCTATATACGAACACCCGTGTCAAGTCTAGACTTAACCTAGGTGTGGCAGGTTTCATTGCTAGAAACCTAATCAATTGAGTTACACTCACTTTGTAAAATGCAAAGATGTTCGGGTTAAGCAAAAAATAATTTTCACAATCATATTTGGACAAAAGTATGAAAAAAATAGGGTTATGCTTGAAATTTTTTTCCTCTCCCTATCATCATGGATCTCGGATCTTATGGACAGCATGATAGCAAAAACCGATAGGATTATTGCTACTAGCGAACCACATTCGGGTATGTTCAGGATTTCAGGTGGCCCCAATAAATTAAAGAAAGCAAGGGAATTGCCTAATACATTAACGGTTTCGCTACATCTATGTAGACACATACTCACTGCTTTCTGTCGATTTTGAGCACAAAATCATTTAGAGATTCTTGCTGCTGCTAATTTCGTTGCAATCTTTTCAGGCTTCGTTCTAAAGGGGTTTTCTTTTTAGATTGGCCACTCTCTCATTTTTTATATAGCCTGTTATATAAAATTTCCTTAAAAAATATCAAACAAATCCATCTCTCAAATTTATAATAGTTAATACTAGTACTCCTTAATTTATCATGCAGTACACTATCACTATCCACTATCCATTATGGTGGATTAGACTGTGGATAACAACTAATTGGTTGAATAGGGAAAAGACAAATGCCAGCACGGCGAGCCCCAAGGCGATGACAGACCATGGATTGCTGCAGTGGTCGCGCAGAAACCTGGCTTTGTGCCTGTGCCAGCTCGCGTCGTGGTACCGCTTCACGCCGGCGAAGAGCGCGCCGAACAGGTGGTCATCGTAGTTCATCGTGCTGCAGTCGCCGAGACGCTGGAAGAAGCCGGACGCTGCGTCGTCGTTGTTGGAGAGCATGTTGTCGACTATGCCGGCCCTGTGCAGCTCGTCCACGTCGTCCCCTGTCCTGACGAGCGACGACAGAAGCACCGTGTAGCTCGTCAGCGGCGCGGCGGCGGCGCCGCCGGTGTGCCCCCTGCTCTGCTCGAAGGCGACGAGGTTCACCAGCAGCGGGAGGCTGGCTTGGTCGATCGCCACGGGCGGCAACTCCAGCACGCCCTTGTTGCTGTCGAACGTTATGTCGAACATGTCTCGCGGCGACCGTTTGTTCACGAACCTGACGCCCGCCTCGCGCAGCATGGTCACGCAAGGTATCACCAGTGGCAGCCGACGAGAGGCGCCCTCCTGGCGGCTTGGCGCCGTCGCCAGCGGGGCGTGAGGCTTGGGCACGAAGCCCTCGTGATAGAGGTGGAGGAGGTGGTTGATCTTCCCGGTCGGCGCCGGAGCCGGACATGATGACGGCAGCTTCGGGAACACGATGCCGTTGGGCCTGAGTTGCAGGAGGAGGAGCGCGACGAGCATGTCTTGGGCCACGGCGCCTCTGAAGAAGGCGTGGAAGAGGGTCTCGACGACGAAGAAGGGGATCTGGTTCTCGAGGAGGAGGAGGTCCGAGTGCAGCAGCGGGAGGCCCCAGCCGACGTCGCACAGCGCGTCGGGCTCCCTACAGTTTAACTTGAAGAAGAACTCGAGGATGAAGCAGCCGTCGAGGAGTAGCATCTCCGCGAAGCCGTCGTCGTCGTCGTCGTCGTCGAAGATGGCTGTCCTCTCGCTGTAGCAGCAGCGAGCGCGCTGCTCGACGGCCCGAACCGCCCGCATGAAGTCGGAGAGCGGGACGGTCGCCGCTCGCTGGAGGAAATGGCGGAGGAGGCGCCACTTGTGCTGCTCCATGGCGCGGAGCTCGTCCCGGCCGCGGTAGTATGGGCCGATGGACACCAGCCGGGGCTCGTAGTGCTGCCTGTTTTCGTGGCGGACCTGCGCGGGAACACGGAAGATGGTGAAGGAGCTGCTCTCGCCGTCGTTTTGCTCGAGCCTTCGTTGGATGGCCGTTTCCATGGTCTTTCTTTCTTTCTTTCTGGTGCTTCACTAGCTAGCTTCCTATGACGTTAGCGGGTGCAAGGGATCAGCTATATGCAGCTGCTCACTTACTCGGTCGACGAGAGGGAAGTGGATTCTGATATCCCTTTGTTATTTGCATGTTACTAGAACTAGGAAGGTAGCCTGCGCAATGCGCGGGCATGTGTCATATGATAATAGGTTTGAGATACATATAAGAGCGAAATATTAACCGGAGAACATCTGCCATGATTTTTCCCAAATTGTTTTCGTCGGCATTAATTGCTTTTACAATTTTCTAACCTATTAGCTTTCTATTATATCATATTTAAATAATATCTATAAACAATTATTTATAATCTTCTTCATCTTTTGAAAAGAAGGTAAACTTATTTTCTTTAGACAACATGTCAACGAAAGTAAAAGTAAGTGTAAAATAAAAGTAAGATGTTTTTCTTTTTAATTGCATACCTATTATCATGGTTTATTAGAGAATGATTTGGGTGGGACATGAAGCTCCACTAAATTGTATATAGCCTAGTATGATTGACATAATTTGAGAGGCAGTCTATCTATGAACATATTATGTAGAGTGGGTAAGAGGTACTACACAACCTAACATGAATACGATAACGACGAAATATAATTGCACAATAATATTTTTGAAATGTGATGTACCATGAATACATATAACGATATATATATATATATATATATATATATATATATATATATATATATATATATATATATATATCTAACAATTAGAAATAATGGTTCCACCGGTTTAAAAGGCATAGGAATATTCCAGAGATGTAGCTTAAAAATTATGGTTGTTTTAATATCCAACATTATTGCGAAGTGAACGTAGCTCAACTGGTTAGTTTCCTTGTGGTGGAACTTTCCCACTCGGGTTCAAGTCCCAAACTTGAATTTTTTTTCAGTGGTAGACGACGTATCCGTCAACAGTGAGGCGCTCGTGGTGACTTCGTCAATCTCAAAATATGTCGGCCTAATCTCTCAGAGGTCCTGATAGGAGTAGGGTATGCGTTCATAGGGGCATATGTACTTTGTTTCTCGAAAAAAATATCCAACATTATTTGTTGTTTCTATTTTAGTTTAATAAGTTTAATAGATAAAAAAGAGGTCTTTGTTTCTAAAAAAAATATCCAACAGTATTTGTTGTTTCTTTTTTAGTTTAATAGATAAAAAATAGGGAGGTGACGAATAGTGTTGTATGCATGTGATGGCAAGGAGGAGGTGGAGGAGATTTTTTTTCTAATTTTTCTATATGAATTAAGTGAAAGCCGATGATGGGGTATTTCATTTTTTAAGAATTTCTAAGGTTCTTTCTGTTATAGGACGTGACACATGGCAACTTAAGATTTTCTTTTAATAAAATTGATCTAATAGTCAAATATAATGGATGCATCAATTTAATTGGTTTTTCTTAGAATTTTAGGAGATGATATATGGTCATTTATGAGTGCTTTGGAGGGCGTTTAATTGATTTTTGTTACGTACAGTGATTTAGTATAATATAATACATATGTTCAATTAATTTTTCGTTGTTGTTTAGCTGTCAAGCCACGATAGGGTCAACCTTTAAATGATGTATTTTAAATTTTATATAGTAAAATATAGCTAATGTGATTTTTATTTATTTATTTTATTATAAATAAAACAATAGCTATGATTATTTTTATTTTATGTTAGTTAAAAAAAAGAAGAGGAGATAATTGAATTGGAGAAGAGAGGATGGGAGAGTTATAGGGGAGGGTAAAGGCGTACGTAAAGCAGGATGGGAGGAGATTATTGTTCTCAAGATACATTAATGGGTCCTAGTTTTGAGTTGATTATTAGAAAATACTTTAGGTATTGTATTTTTAATTAAACTACTTAAATTGTTCTAATTTAAGTGTGTATTATTAATCAAAAGGTTTTAAAATCTATTTGACGTTTTTCTTAAAAATGTATGGATTAGTGAACAATAGCTAGTGCATAGAATATGTATGACCAAAGTAATGATTTTTTTTGAAAAAAATATCGTTAACTTGGTTCTTTAATTTTAAGTTTTATACTAAATAATATAATGGTGTACACCAATAAAAAGTTAGCTATATGATTTAGATAGTATAGTTGTTTAAAATTTGTTAACATAAATTTTTTTTTTCATCTAACTAAATGAGGAAAATAGAAGAGAAAAGATATAGGTGAGGAGGTACATACGCACAATGGGTCCACCACATATCAGTGAAAATCGACAACCAGATATTTTGTTTATTCTCATAATTTTTATGATTTTTCTAATTTATTGAAATGTCACGTGGCGGCGTAGAAGTGTGTGTAGAAGTACTACATGGCGGGTTTACAGAATGTTTAATGGGCAAAGAGCTAAAAATGCTTCCATGTGATAATTTTTAAATGAAAATATAGTTAATATCAAATGTAGTCGTAGTATTTTCCATGTATACATCTAATTTAGATAAGTTTATTATGGATGGGTGGATGTTTCTCGTATGTGTAAAGATTCGAGTAGGGAAGAACTGTGCGTAGTATGTACATACCCGGGAGATTTTATTTTTTCTCAATCATGGATAGTAGCACGTTTATACATATGAGAATTTTTTTCAGTTTTTTTTCTGTTGAGCAGCACGTACGTACGTTTCTCTCATAGCAATTAGGTGGAACCGTGGCATGGCTAATCCTTCTTCTTTTTTTCAATCATAATTACGTATTTTGTTCCTTTTTTTCACGAGTAGCAATATATGGAAGTACGTATACGTACGTGTATATATACGTGGGATGTATTTTAAATAAATCTAATCTAATGGTTTAAAAATAGTGGGTCCCCTGAATTAAATGAAAATCGATGGTTGGATGTTTTTCTTTTTTCTCATAATTTGTAAGATTTTCTCTTATTTATTAGAGCGCCACGTGGCAGCTTAGGAACGTTTGTAGGATTACCACATGGCGGTTTGAGAGTGTTTGTAGAAAGTTTAATAGACCTTTAGCTTAGCCAATGAGCTAGATCAAATGTAGTCGAAGTAGGAGATATAGGACATTGGTGTCAAAATAATATATTTGATCGTTAATTTTCAAATAATATATAAATAAATAAAACCATAATTTAGTAATGTCACATGCTTTTTTCTACCGTACGGAGCGAGTAACTTTTAATAATACTAATCAGATATATTTTTATAGCTCAAAGCATAAAAGTATAGATAATATGGAATTGGATTATTAGTTTGAGAAAGCAAAAAAGTACGTAAAACCATAATTTAGTAATGTCACATGCTTTTTTATACCGTACGGAGCGAGTAACTTTTAATAATACTAATCAGATATATTTTTATAGCTCAAAGCATAAAAGCATAGATAATATGGAATTGGATTATTAGTTTGGGAAAGAAAAAAAGAAAAAAAAGTACGTACCTATTTTTGGGAGGAGCTGCTATGTACGGACGTACATACGTGCAGCGATGTACATTCTATATTGTGGAAAAAATAAATGGTAAATTTTCAATATGGATCTAATGGTGGAAAACAATGGGCCCACCAGATTTAATGAAAACCGATGGCTAGATGTTTTGATTTTCTATAGCGCCATGTGGCGACCTGAGAACGTTTGTAGGGGTGCTATGTGGCGGCTTGAGAGCGTTTCTAGGAAGTTTAATGGACTTTTAGTATATAATAATAGATAGTTATGAAAAAATTTAAGAAGATATATTAATATGTGATATATCATTCCACAAACATGCAAGTAAAAATTCAACTTCTACATCTCGCAACGAAAAAAATAAATTTAACTCTGAATATACGTTAACTAGCTACGGTTTAATTTGTTTTCTATGAGATGTAGAAGTTGAATTTGAACTTGCATGTTTGTGTTACATGCATATTACCGGTTTGATGCATATCAACTAAATTGTTATGTTTTTTTAAAAAATGATTTTTTAAAAAAGAAATTAACGAAGATAAAAATTGCTATGTAATATAGTATTTCATACGTATGCAAGATTATTTTTTTTACTTTACAAGTTGTATTAAAAATAATATATTTGACTACGAATATACGTATACTAATCAAATCTTAGTAGAATGACATATTACATATCAGTCTATCTATCTTGTTGTCAACTACTATTTGAAAATATAAAATAAATGAGTGGACGTTTATCCGGGTGACTACAAGAATTTTCTTGGTGAAGGAGGGAGATTTCCATTAATTGTTGCCATCTTAATAAATTATTAAGAACTACGTAATTTCAGTCTTGCAGCCACTATTTTTACCTGGTAACAAAAAGAATGTCGCTACCATTGCATATTTCGTTCAGTTCACGATTCAACTTTGACTCTTTCTAGCCTTGTACTTAAAAAAAAAATCTGTGCCTTGCAACAGGTGAATGCTATTTTTTTAAAAAAAATAATGAGCTGTAATAAGAAGTCTAACTTTCATATCAAGTTAGCATACGAGCTATTTTAAAGATATTTCTTATACGACTCGTTTTATATTTCCAAAAGCAAACAAACTTAAAATTCGACTCAAACAATTGTCTATATTTTTAAAACCGAACGAACTTAAAAACTAAAACTCAAATACGAATGACGTACCAAAAAACTGACAAAAATATTTTAAATTTTTATAATAGTAGATATATAAAAATAATACTACGACATGGTGTACCATTGGAACGAAATAATTGATGTTACGTCATGATGACTTTAGCATGGTACCTAGCATAATAACCAAATTCTGGTACCATAGATATCATGTTTAATTTGGTACCCTCAATACTATATTCTGTACGTCAAATATTGTGCTGATGTTAGTGTGATAGCTAGGTATCAAGCACTGGTGGAGAAACCCTTTGTAGTCCCGGTTCGTAACCCCCCTTTAGTCCCGGTTTCCAAACCGGGAGTACCAATCCGGGACTAAAGATCGCTATCTTTAGTCCCGGGTGAAATAACCGGGAGTAAAGATCGATCTTTAGTCCCGATTGGTAACACCAACCGGGACTAAAGATAGAGCTGACCTTTTTTTTTGCATGCCCCTGTTGCTGCATGGTTTATATATATATATATATATAAACCATGCATATATATGTTTCAATACATATATATGCATACATATATATATGTATTTATACATATATATGTTATGCAAATGCATATGTATATAGATATATATATGAACAAAATATATTTACATTATAGAAAATGTGTACACATGCATATAGAAACATATGTAGTCATGTATTAATTACAATCCATTATATGTCCTAGCTAGCTACGA